GGATGTGTGTCAAGTGCTAGCACGGTGCCTGGGCCACTGTCAGCATCCGTAAGTGGGAGCCACCATCATGCTGTGTGGACCCAGCTATGGGCAGCTTGCTAGATAAGCCAGTAAATAGAATCCACCGTAGATTAAAAAGAAAAGTGATGGAGTAACAAAAAACTCCCAGTTTTCTACAGGAGCTGGTATATTTTATCTTTATCGATGGTGGACTTCTGGCCACCAAGAAGTTCCGAGCCAGACTTCTGCAAGTGGGGAAGACCCCCTGACTGGATACCTGGATTCCACTTCCCCCTTGTCTTGAGGCTTTTTAATTCTCAATTTCATTTTATGCACTCCCCGTACACCACCTTACATCCCCTGCGCCATGTGGCTGGGGCAAAAGGAAGGAAAGAAGACAGAAGGGAGAAGCCAGGGACGGCAGGCAGGAAAGGAAGAAGAAAGGCTTTGAAACATGAGACTTTGAAATTATTCATTGTAATGTTCAGTTCTTGGATTCATGCTAATTGGCACATTTTTTTTTTCCACTGCAGACAGTATTTTTCAGGTGCCCTCTGCCTGCTCGGGGTTGGTTCTACATTTTGACTGGCATTAAGCCTTTAGCTATCATCGCCGGTGCAACCGTGAGTTTTCATGAACAACGCCACTTGAGGGCTGTCACGGGCTCTCGATCACGTGCCTGATAACTCCCAGAGTCAGTCCTTCATTATCTGCGTGGAGATTGGGCACTTTGTTTTTTGGCAGCAAATGTTTCATCCAAGGTCAATTTCCCTCAAGTGCTCAGCACCATTTCAGACAGTGTGTGCTCAGGGAATGCAAATTAATCTAATGTTAGCTTTAGCCAAACCCAGCTAGGAAAGCAAACCTGCTTCTAAAAACACTATAGACACTGATAAACATCATCTAAATGATGTGATGTTTGTACATGTATACAATCTCACCTTAATTCCAAAGGCATCATTCCACAGCACTTTTAAACTCGGCTCTGAATTAGCCTTACTTTTGTTCTTTGATTAGAAGCACGTTTTAATCTGAAATTATTTAAATATATGTCATTATATTTTATTGTAACTGGGGGCCGTGAGACTATGTTAAGGATGCATGTGTGTTTCACATTTTTGTTAGATTATAAAAATGCAACAAGTACTTGTAATAACAAATGAGGAAATACAGAAAACACTAGAAAAAAATGAAAGCAAGGAGTTCAGGCCTTTTAAGCACTAGCTACCCAGACTCCTTCCTTGGCACCTGCAATAAACACTGCACTTCCCTTCACCACAACCCGGGGTCAGTAGATTGGCTTTACTGTGTGTGGGCAAAGTGGACCCAAATTTGGTTCGGTAACAAAATCATTTATAATCCCTTTACACACAAATAATCATGATTAACATTATATCTCTTTCCACACATTCTTGAGATTGTAGAAGTTCTCAAGATGGACTTGCAGACAGCTTCCAAGTGAAAAAAATAGACTGATTTTGGGGCTTAAAGTTTCCCTTGGAATTTCTTCCATGTTCTGCAGCCTCCCCCCCTGCAAGGAAGCAGGTCACGGAAAGAGGGAGTCGGCGGGACTCCAACCGCAAGAAGAAGGCACCATATCTCTGTTCCTCCGCCATCTCCACCTTTGCTTTCCAGCCGGGCTGGATTAGAGAGGCCAGGCTGAGAAAGACCACTGTGCCCCAGAGCATGAAGTCTTTCCAGGCTGGAATCAAATGGGTTGAGGTGTCTGGCTTTCTAAATGCATCTGGAAGTCTCAGTGCAATTGCATCAGTTGTATAACAGAAGAGAGGACAGAGCTTTCCAACACCCTGGGGACAGGTTCTGTGCCCGAATTTGTCCCATGCCTTTGAGAATAATTCCTGCTTCTGTCTCGTCCTTTACCTCCAAGTGCCGTGAAGCCAATGTTTCTCACACCCATCACGTTTCCTTTTCCTGGAACTGTGTTCCTGTTCTCTTGGAGGATTCTCGCCAATTCCCTACTCTGATCATGAGGTTTGATTATGGGCTATCAGTCATTATTCCCCCCTCCCCATGACAGGGTGAGTATGTGACCCAAGCCAGGCCAATCAGAGACCTTCCAGGGATTTTAAAATTGAGAACCAAGAAACTAAGACCTTCCTTCTAGCAGCAAAACTGGGAAGATGTGAGCCCAGTACTTCAGTGTCTGTGCTCCACTGTTAGAGCAGGCAGACAGCTAGATATGAGCAGAGAACGGGGGCACAGGCCATATGGCAGGAATTGGGCAGAAATGGAGGGGCAGGGACCAAATGAAAGAAACCATACATCGTGCAAGTAACAGGGGTCCTTGGGCAGAGAAAGAAAAGCAGGAACCCCTGGGCTGATAAATGGTCACGTCACACATTTAGGGGTGACAAATGTTCTGGAGGCCAACAAAGAAGGGTGAAAAAAACAGGAATCTCCAGTGTCCAAATGCAACCTTTTGTTCATTACGCCCTCATTACAATAAAATTAGCCTTGCAGGTCAGAAGTACCCATCATGCACCGACACCGTGACACTTCTGATCCAGACTAAATAAGGACAAAAATCCCTCCTCCCTTCGGGAAAGTGGAGCTGGGATGAAAATCAGAGAGTATGACCCCAAACCCTTCCCTCCCCAATGACTATTCCACTCATTCATTTTTATACCCTATGTAGTCAACTTGCCAAAGAAACTCAGGGAAGCTGCTCACCTGAGTCTGCCCGCTCTCCCCTTGAGAGTGTACCATCTATCCCTTAATAAATCCCCACTTTCTTTCTTAACCTCTGTGTCTGGTCTCTGAGTTCTTTCTGTGACAGGAAAAGAACCTAGTCACTGGCAACATCTTGATATGTGAAATAAGTGGCCTGCAGCAAGAGGTATTAATCCAGTAATCCAGTGCTCAGAGGGAGGTGGCCCAGCATAGCCGATGGAGGGGGGAAGGGATGGAGGCAGGGAGAGGGAGAGAGAGGGCGGGGGGCACTCAGTGGTGATCCAGTCTTTGTTTGAATCTGCTAAGTTCCCTGGATTCTCTTTCAAAATTTTGGTTTTCCTTTTCTTAAATCTACAGCCTGCCCTAGGAATTATCCCTACAAATGAATTCTGAATGGGTTTTCTGTCATTTATAACCAGAATAATCCTGAGCATTAGAAGCAGACCACCCCCCAACCCCGAACCCTCGGCCCCCTCTCAGTCCCCTGGACTCTCTGTGGCCTCTGGCTCCTGTTATCTGGATTTCTCTGCCTTTCTGTGCCTCAAAAGCCCTTAAAATTGTCCACCCCTCTCCCCTTCTTGAGGTCACTCTCTAATTCACTGTGGCAGGTACCTGATATTTGATATTTAAAGAGTTGCCAGTACATTCCAAAGACTTCCCGTTGGTGGAAGTTGTCAGGAGGGAAGCCTTCTTGACCTACTCTTCCTCCAGACTCATCTGGGGAAAGGTACCCAGAAACGGAATTTTTTAGCCCACCACCTGGAATCTCCTCTCCCAATCACCTCACCCCCATCTCTGCACCAGCTTCCTCAACCCATGGGACTCAGTCCGGACAAACAAGGTGTTTTCTTGGAGAGCGTGAGGATTAACCCTGCAAAATTCCACAGCTGAAACAGGTCTCTTCCATTACACTGTCCTTAAAAACTCATTGTTGAGCTCTTTTTAACTTTGACTATTATTTTGCAACAGTGAAACGGCAAGATAATCACTTTGTTTAAGTGAGGTGACAGACGGCATAGTTTAAAACAAGAGCATCCACTAATTAAAAGCCAATAAACACAACGTTGATAAAGTGCTGTAAAACCATCCTCCTGATATAGTATAAACCATATAAATCTTGGACTTGCGGGACTGCTGAGTGGCACCTGAGTTCTAGTTAAAGGTGGGTATGGTTTACTCTCCACATAATCTGCAGCACCTAATCTGTGCCAGGCACTGAGCTAGACTCAGCGACGTCTGTCACTAGGGGAGGACCTTGTTTACGCCCCATTTGATTGATTGCCCAGTAAGCTGTAACTGTCATGTTGTCAGTTTCCTAGGAAAGACCTCTCCTGAAAATGCCCACTGGCATTCACCGCCAGAGGCCAAGCGTAAACGCCACATCAAGTTATGAATCTGACATCCACCAGTGCTTGAAAAGAGACAGGGCTCGTGGCTCTCCTCTGCAACCTGAACGTCCCCCAGCAACCAGCCGAATCCGAACGGGGTCGGAGAGGCGGCTGAACCCTGCCAAACGACACTCCACTCCACTGACAGAACAGCAGCCCCCTGCCATTCTTCCTCCTGACAGGTATGTATTTGGAACTCCTTCTGGAGCATGCAGCGACACTTTGCAGCCTTGATCCTGGGCTGAGTTCCTAGGGAGACCTCCTCGCGGCATGTTTTATTCATGGTGTCTCCCAGGCTGGTTTCTTCATCGTAAACACTGGTGGGGGTGTGTGTGTGGGGGGTAGGGACAGTCAGTGAACCGGAAATAAAACTGGAGTGTCATAATAAAACCATCCCTTTGTGCGTGGAACGTCTACAACCCAGAGTCTGAGATTCTGGGGAAGTTTTGCACATGGAGGAGTTTTAAGGTGAAGCATTCACAGAGGAAGGTAAAAAAAAAAAGTTATTCACACTGTGTTGGAGTAGTGAAGGAAGTAGGTCAGATAAACCAAAATAACCTTTTCTGTGAGACATGATAAGCTTCAGGCATCTGAGAACGTAGGGAAAAAGATGGTGCAACAGGTAAAAGCAGTCGACTGATAGACGTGGTGTTGACCTAACAGTGGGACGGCTACAAAGAACAGATGGAGTAAACATCTATTCTGCCTCCTCCCAAGAAACTTCTCCATCAACTCCGTCACTGTCTTTCCTGTTGGAAATACGTATCTTTCATTTCACTAGTTAAAGCTTTTAGGAGAAAGTCTAATAATAATCTCTTCTGCCTGTCCCAAGTACCCCCAACAAAACCGATGGCCAAGGATGACACAGGACAGGGACTGCAGTGCTCTACCACGTACAGCTGGTATGTGACGTCTGCGTACCTTGAGAATGACGGTCTTCTCGTGACGGGTGATGTTAACACTGTGAGGCTGTCCATTGGCCATGTTCCTGTGGTCAACGTCGATATTATATGGCTCCCTGGTGCCACCCAGGTTGTACCGAACCTGTAAGCTTCCTGTATAGAGGAAAGGAAAGAAACTCACTTTTCTGCTCTAGCTTTCATTTTAACGTCCCTTTCCCCACCCCCTGTGGCTTAGGTTTCCATCAACCTCTGCTCCTTCTTTCAACAGCCGCCCACACCGGCGCCATGCTGATTCTGGCTCACTGGCTTGGAGGCACACTCACCCACAGGGTAGCAACACCAGGCACACGTGTGCTTACATGCTAACAACCATGAGCCATCAGTGACCACCATCCGATGGTCAAGCTGAAGCAGCAAGTGGTATAAACGATCCAAGTTGGGACTGTGCCTGAGAAGGCAGAATGGGACGTACACAATACAGGACTGTGGCAATGCCTACAGGCCCCGCCGAACACCATGTGAAATAAAAAATAAATGCTATCGTCTCATGTCATCAGCAGGGACATGAGGATGCAGGGATGGTCTCATATCATCAGCAAAGTGTGACATTCGGCATATAAAAGAATCATGAGCATATAATATTCAAAATAAACATCATTTACAAAAGATACATACGTGAGATTTGGGGTGGCTTCATTGAGACCAAGAAAACAAAGCAATGGACTTTATTCTAGGTTAGAGACTTCATCAATCCCAATGCAAATCAAAGGAGAAGACGGGCTTCCAAGGTCCCCAAGACCCCACTGCCTCTCAGAGTTCACTTTGCCTCAACAAATCATTCTTTTTCTTGTTTCTTCCCCATAATGATAAATAATATTCAAAAAGACTAATATAATAGTCGAGATCCTGCTTTTAATTAATCTGCACAGCAAACATAGCTTTTATTTCTTATTCATGGTTTTTAAAGATGTCTATTTTTAAACCTCACTTTTTACTCAAATTGAAATCTTTGTGTTAGTAGCTTTCAACATATCAGAGCTTAAAAAATGGAGCCAGTAAACTAGCAAGAGTTTGACCAACTGTCAATCACCTCATAGATTTTTTTTTTAGTTTAAATTTATTTGTTTATTTTGAGGAGGGCAGAGGTAGGTAGGTTTTATTTATTTACTCTATTTTCTAGAGGAGGTAC